AATCATTATGGTCTTTTACCAGCATATTGCAGATTTAAACGGGCTACCTGACACTTACTTTTGTAGTAATCAGCTGCGGATTCTCTCTCCCCTTCGGGAGATTTGCAGTATACCCATTTTTTCTACCCCCCCCCAGTAGCTTCACAGCTTTACAGCCTGTCACTACCCACACCTAAACCTGAGGCTGTAAATCAGTAAACTGAATATAAAACGGGCTGTCTGACACGTGTACTCTCAGCAGCTAGCTACTGTTGTATTGACAAGTGGATATTGTTACAATTTCTTTGATACTATTCATCTTGAATCTATCAGCTGTATCTGCTACACAGTTACCCCTAGAGATAGCTGTGACAGACTGCTCTTAGGTATAAATATCGGTAGCCAGCGCACACATTCTATGGCTGATAATGTTATCAATTATCTGGCAGTTTATGTGGACACTAAACTAGCAGTGATTTAAGCTATCCTGCCGAAACCTCACATTCCGTTGCCAACCTAGCAGACCGACATCTGACATAAATCTTTAGACACTGTTTCTCGCTAAAAGTATCTCCTTGCTTGGAACAAGTTGTGTTTTAAACACAAACCCTTTAGATAGCATGGTTAACCATTTAACTACCGCATTACTTAGTGGTTTACTTTTGTCCACTTAGGTTACATTGAAGAATTTTTATAACAATTGTATTCCAGTCATACTTTTCAGTATTAAACTGCAAACAATATTGTTAAGTCCTGCTATAAGACGATCTCTGGACATTACAATTTACACAATTTGATTTTATATTATTCACCTTAATTTTCTTTATTTAGTGTTTGTGTGTCAGTGTGTTCAATAGATATATATCTAGCCCTTATATTTAAGGGTTTTTAGCTACAAGATTAAAAGTGGCGTTTTATTCCATACATTTCTTTATTTTCCATACCATCAAAGTGATTTCCCATTTTTTTTTAGCCATTTAGTACTGTTATCTCCAATTTTCTCCCCTTTTTTTTCTAGTTTATCCTTGGTGGATCAGAACAGGAGTAAAAGTGTGCGTCATCAGCGGATTTGCACAGCAACAGCAGTGTGTATGATCAATGGAGTACAGCAGGTACAGCATAATGAATCACAGACTATCAGTACAGGAATAAGAGAAAGAGTCATGCGGGCTCTACACACGGGGCCTATCTGCAGGCCACATCAGTCGGATGTCCATCTAAATGAATGTTTGTTTTTTAAGTTTGCCATCACAGTATAATTTTCCCTTTGGCTCTGTAGATGAATTTATCTGTGAAAGCATTGAGATGCTGAGCAAACTGACTCTATCTGCATTCAGGATGTTGTGCATGTCTGTTATCAAACTGCCCAGAGCAGAAACAAACCTCAGTTTCCATGCTTCTGCACTCATTGTATTTATAATGCGTGCAAACTGGAATAGGAAGTGCAAACAGGTGAAAACCAGAGATTCTCATTTTCATGATACGAATGTCAGCACGTTAGTGGGGCATCTGTTCTGAAATGTCAGAGATTTCAGCTGGTCAGGCATCAGTGTGTTTAGCATCAGTGTACTCTGCATCCACTGCCAATCACAGGGGTCCTTTTGCCTCTACAATGATTGACGGTAACCTAACAAATAGTATGTACATTTTAGGGGAAAAGAGCCCTACTGGATATGTTCTCCAATGTATTTTACCACCTTACAATGAAAAGCATACACCTTTTGTTGCGTGTATATGATGGCTTCTAGTTCTGCTGAAAATGGTTAGTATTATCAAATACTTCTTGTTCAATCAAAAAGCCATGAATTCCAGTGTCATCATGAACCATCTCCTCTTTGGTGGACAGGATATATATACCTGGTCCATCCAAAGATGGGCACATCTCTCTGGGTACATCACTAAATGTGAATTTGGGAGAACTCAGTTACAGATTAAGCTTAACCAGCTTCATTCAGTGTGTGTGAATACACGCTCTACTAGTTAGGGTAAGCAGAAGATAAAGGAATGGTTAGCATGTTATCTGAAGAAAGGATTCTCTCTAAAGTTTCAACAGCAGGATTAAGGGTGCAAATATATAAGAATCCCAAATGTGTTCTTTCTTCCTCCAATATAACCTTTTCCTTCCATGAAGTTAACAGAACATATTTTCTTAACTCCTCTGTAGGGAAAGCACAAAAAATATATAATAAAAAAAAAATCCTCAAGCTGAACAGTAGACATCATGGTGATCAATATTCACAGGGATGGATGCAGTGTATTCAAACCTATTGCTTGTTTCCCTGGAGATGTGCTTGGATCTTCTTCAAGGCTCATTCTATTTATAGGATTAGATGTGGCATCAAAACCAGATTACCCATACAGTGACATAGGCGGCTGCCCAGGGGGCCCCTGTAGCTTTAGATCTGTTTGTAAAAGGGCCCTCCATAAGCTGACAGAGAAATCACTAGTTGAGAGAGCTATCAGGTACAGGTCACTTTAAGAGCTTCCTTGCTGTCCTCCAGCACTTCTTAATGACTCAGAGCACTGCAACCAGTTGACTAAGTCATTGACTGAGTGTTGGAACTTGAAGGGAACTCTTAAAGTGATGTGCTCCCGAGAGAGGAGAGGAGAGAGGTGCAGACCACAGTGCACCCCCCGTAACCAGCCCACCAAGGATAACCTCCCAAGAGAGCACTCCAATGGACCACTATGGATAACATCCCCTCTTACCAGAAAGTAAGCAGGAGGGGGCAAATTAAAAAACTCACCAAAGACTGCACACAACACAGCATCCCTACACACAACACTCAGCTTCCCTAGAATACTGTAATGAATATGCCCAACACGCAGAGTGTAAATCACCAGAACCACAAAGGTAGATAGAGAAAGCCCCTATACCAGTCCTTATAATGGCCGGGCTGAAAGGAGCTTGCGGAGCCAGAGACAAGCCGAGGTCAGAGGAGTACAGAAATACACAAAAGCGAGGAACAAGCCGAGTCAGGAAACCAGAAACCAGAGGAGTCAAGGGTAAGCCGAGTCAAAAACACAAAGAAGCAAACAGGAACGTGCTGAGGAGGAACTAGGAACTAGGAACCACAACAGGGCACTGAGTTGAAGGCAGGCTGGGCTTTTATATGATTAGGGACATAACCACGCCCCCAAAAGGTACGAGTCATTTGAGTGTTTAGAGCTCTTTTGTTTAGAGCTCTTTTGCTAACATGTGACCTCATTGCCCCTTTAAAAAGGGCGGGTGTACATTAGCTGGCTTCCTTGATGCTTAATGTACCTATCTTCTGCGTGGGAGCAGCTGTCCGACCGATCCTGCTGTCAGCGGATCGGCGGACTGGCAAGGTAAGTGTCCTGTTTCTTACAAATACACACAAAATTTAACCACCACACACACATACGATACTGCAGACACATTCAGCCTCCCTCCATACAGCTCTCAAAATACAACATTCAGCTACTACACAAACAAAACACTCAGTTTGCGTGTACAAATACAATCATCTCAGCGAACACATACACAACACTCACAGTATTGAGCCCATGGCTCTAGGAGGGGGCCCAATCTGGCATTCTGCCTAGCGCCCTTGGCAATTTTAATCCAGCTTTGTATGGCTTTACATACAAAAATGTGAATCTTATCCTTCGTTGTAAGAAACTAAATAATAGTAATAACAGCAATTTATGCAGCTTTATTTCTTCTTTCCAGGGTCAATACAATCCATAGTTTTACATCATAGCAGAAGTTCACTAATGGATGTTATTTGAGGAAAGTTGCACTTAAAAAGGATGTCGGACTACTTCTCTGTATTTATACCTTATTTGCATATAGACCTTCTGTTGGGCTGTCTTCAGGGATTCAGTGCTAGATTGGGCCCCCCTCATAGAACTCTGGGATCTGTTTCTGTAAGTGTGGAAGCAGGTAAAACACACAAATACATCACAATTACATGGGGAAACACAGAATACAAGATAAAACCGTGGGAATAAGCATTGGGAACACAAAATACAAGGGCAAAACATATGAATATTTAGTGGGCATGGTACTTAGTGGCGGTGGCCAGCCACACTTAGTGTTGTGTGTGAGAGTCTTTATAGGTGGCTGAGAGCTGTATGTGTAGAGGAGGCTGAGTAAACCTATGTATGCTGGTACAATGTTGTGCATATGGTGGCTGAATTTTGTGTGTATGGAGGGGAGACTAAGTGTTGCTGATTGTTCTGTGTAGTGTCTGAGTGTGTGTGTAACTTCTTTTTATCTCTGGAGGCACACTGGGGAGCTGGATCCTTCGTGGACCGGTGAGGGAGCATTGTGGTTGTGACACTCTGATTAATGGTGAACACCTAGTAGACAGCAAAGGTACTATTAAAATGATCTGCACCTAAAAGAGGTTGCTTAATCCACCAATCAGAGTGCTCTGTGTCATTTTACACAGCGTGGAAAAATTCCAAAGAACTTTCCCACGCTGTGTAAAATGACACAGAGCACTCTGATTGGCTGGATTTCATGCTAACCAATCAGAGTCCTCTGTGTCATTTTACACAGCGTGGGAAAGTTCTTTGACCTTAGGTCCCCCCCTTATTGTTATTTAGGGCCCCCACCCGCCGCACAGGGGTGGGGGCCAGGAGGAGGGCATTAGGTCCCCTCCCAATTTGTATTTATGTCCCCCACCCACCACTCAGGGGTGGGGGCCGGGTGGGAGGACATTAGGTCCCTTGCCCCATTTTTTTATTTATGGCCTCCACCCACCGCTCAGGGGTGGGGGCCGGGGGGAGGACAGTAGGTCCCCCCCTATTGTTATTTAGGGCCCCCACCCGCCGCGCAGGGGTGGGGGCCTGGGGGAGGACATTAGGTCCCCCTTTATTGTTATTTAGGGCCCCCACCCACCGTGCAAGGGTGGGGGCCGGGGGAGAGGACAGTAGGTCCCCCCCTTATTGTTATTTAGGGCCCCGTCGCACAGGTGTGGGGGCAATAGGTTTTTTGGTTTTTTTTACAGTGAGCAGCCACTATATATAAGCGCACTATATATAAGCGCACTATATGTAAGTATTCCCAAAACAGTTAACAAATGTACACTTAAGCATGTTTAATGTTTGTCTACTATAAGCGAACCTGATGTATCTCTAGACATAGCTAATATCTCATTGTTCACCGTATATGTAATTTAGAGCACTGTTTCAAATATGTTCCCGCTAAGTGACTTAATGCTATTTCTCGAGACGTAGCTGGTACTTTAATATTCACCATATACGCAACTTAACGCACTGCTATCCTACCTATTAAAAACTGTGCAAGTAATCTTGTAAACCCCGCTGTTACAGCCGTTGAAACTCAGCGTAAGGACTGCCATTGGGGTACCTCACGCTTTTTGTTATGTTCCTATGTACTGCGAGATCCAAACATTTTTCTCTTAGCAGTTTATTCCTGACCGAGGTATTATTTCTCCAGCATATGCCCAATTCCATCTTTAATTGTAACGTCAGTTGTTTTACCCAATGAGTATAGCTGATTTCTAAAGGTTGTTTCCAGTTTCTTGCTAAGAAAATCTTCAATGTGTGGTCAGATAATATTGGAATGTTGTTAAATCCGGCCAGCCAAGTGTAGTAATGCTGTCATCGGAGTTGTATTAATTTTAATCTTATCACAATCATATAAAGGTTTATAAACCTGATCCCATAATTTTTAGATTTTTGAACAACTCCACCATGTGTGTAGATAACTTCCAACTACCTTCATACATCTCCAACACAAATTTAAAACACTAGGATCCATTTTTTAAAATCTTGTTGGTACTAAATACCACCCACAAACCTAAGGGACAGGAGACCCTAGCCATGAGGTCAAAAAGAGACCCCCGCCCGGCCCACGAAGGAGCCTAGATGGGAGACTCACAAGCAGACACAACACACATTCTTCTTTAAAGCCATATTTATCTAGTATCGATTTTTTTTATATCAGCATCACAGTTTTTAAACATAACCACAGATTTATCGATTTATCTTATAATTAGATATTTCACTATATTGCGTTATCTCATCCATTAAATGAGCAACAGAAACAACTGGACCGGCCAGGGTCATTATATTGTCGTCAGCATACATACACAACTGCAGTTCTTTAGAGGCTGTTGGAATTTGCCCTTATTCTTATTGCTAGAGACTCTATAGATAGTATATATAGTATTGGTGAAAGAGGACAACCTTGGCGGGTGACACTACCTAACAAAAAATGATCGGAACATAGATCTATTCCCACCACACTAGCCATTGGTTCATGATATATATTTTTAATTGCTGCCCTCATCCAGTTCACCAAAGCCCATAGACTCCAGCCGTCCAAACATATATCCCCATCAGACCCTGTCAAAGGCCTTTTCTGCGTCCAATGACAGATTCAGAAGGGGATCCCCCGATCTCTCTCCCCAATCCAATATATTAATCAGACGTCTTGAATTAGCGCTTGCCTGTCTAGTGGGAACAAAACCAATCTGGTCTTCATGAACCAGGCTAGGAAGAAGTATTTTTATCCTGTCTGCCAAAATTGCTGAAAAGAGCTTAGAATCTAAATTCATTAGGGAAATCGGACTGTAATTCTTAAGTTCTTGGGGTTCCTTATCCTTTTTTAAGATCAGTAATATATTACCATATAACATTTATTTTGGCCTGGAACCCTTTTCCACACTCTCATTAAAAGCATTTACTAGATGTTCAGATAATATATCCTTATAAAATCTGTTAGTCAGACAATCTGGGCCAGGGGTTTTAAAATTTTTAAATTTTTCCATGATCTGTTTAAATTCTGCTTTAGTAAGAGAAACATTCATGATGTTGTTTTATGCCTGTATTATTTTAGGAAATTCTATGTCCTTTAAATATTTGAATATTTGACGTCCCTCAGGTTGTTTTGGTATATCATATAGCTCTTCATAATAAGTTTGAAAAATTATAGCTATAGTTTCTGGATTTCTGTATGTTGTCTGGCCTTTTTTGATACGTTATCCTGTTTTTCCCTGCTTTCCTTTTAACCCCTTCCCGACCGAAGACGGAGATTTTCCATCAAGCTTGTCCATGTGTTAAGGACCGTTGACAGAAAATCTCTGTCATTTACTAACGTTAACGCCAGATCGCCGCGATCGCAGTGATCGTGGGGTTAACGCTGTTGCTGGGTGCCTCGATGTCAGAGGCAGACCAGCAACCGCCAATAGAGCTGTCCCAGCACATGTGATCGCTGTGACAGCCAGTCAAAGCGATTACATGTGCTGCTGGGATTCCTGATCCTCCTCCCTCCACCTCTGTGTGGTTTGAGAAGTGGAGAGAGACAGATCGGTGCTGCAACATTGTGTGCCATTTTAGCTTAAAGTGTATCTCTGTTATAAAAGTAATTTTAATACTTTTAAAACAGTGTTAACCCTTTCTTTGCCCTTTTGATCACTGCCTGCAGTGAATAGTATACTGATCACAGTATTTAACTGTGATCTAAATTTTTTTTTTTGTACCCTCAAGAGTTAATTTTGATTTTTTTTTAACCCTTAGGGGTTAATTTTATTTAATTTGTTATTTAATTAATGTAACATTAATTTCTTAGTTAGCTGGAGTGGGTGGACTTTAGTGGGAATTTGGGAAATAGAGTGTTAGGCTAGTTAGAGAGGAAAAGTTCTGAAAAGTTTTTAAAAGTTTATAAAAAAAACTATAAAAAAAAGGATAAAAAAATAAAAAGTTTAAAAAAAAACAGTTTAAAAAAAAGTTTGTTAAAGTTACACCTTCATAATATCTAGAAGGTACACTGCTGAGGAAGCTTATGATATACTAGCAGCCGACTCTGACGCCACGGACACTGCCTCTGAGAGTGGTGATGAGACTGTGCCAGATACTGCAGTGCCCTCTGTTGTAAGCGCCGAGTCCCCTGACCTGGCTCATGACGCTGGTGATTGGGAACCCCTAAATGATTTCACGCCTGACATCCCAGTGTTTACTGGCAGTCCTGGAATTCAGTTGGACATCACTAACTACAGTGCCCTGGATTTCACGCAGCTATTCTTGGGGGATGATATTTTAGGGGATATAGTCACCCAGACCAACCTTTATGCTGTGCAGTACCTGACACTTAATGATCAGAGTCTCATCGCCAGGCAAGGGAGTTGGTACCCCACCAGTGTGCCAAAATTAAAAAAATTTGGGGCACTAACAATGCGCATTATTGGGCATTATTAAAAAAAAAACAGCATCAGGATGTACTGGTCCAAAAATCCTGTATGCAGCACCCCTATTTACTCCCAGACCATGAACAGGTCCAGATATGAAGCAATGCTTTGCTTTTTACACTTCAGCGACAATTCGAAGAGCCCCCCAAGAGATAATCCTCAATACGATAATCTCTATAAGATTCGCCCCCTTATTTTCCACTTCAACAGACAGTTTGGCTCAATGTACACCCCACAAAAAATATTTGTGTAGATGAGTCTCTAATGAAATACAAGGGCAAACTGGGGTTTAAACAATATATCCCGGCCAAAAGATCCCGGTATGGGATAAAGTTGTATAAACTTTGTGACAGTGCCAGTGGTTATGTTTACACCTTCTGTGTTTATGAAGGTAAAGACAGCCACTTGGATCCCCCAGGTTGCCCGGATATCATTGGGACGAGTGGAAAAATCTTATGGGATTTAATTAACCCATTGCTAAATAAGGGGTATCATTTATTTATAGACAATTACTATAATAGCATCCCTCTTCTTAGGATGCTTTATTGCTTTGAAACTATGGCCTGCGGCACTATCCGAAAGACACGTGTCGGTTTCCCAAAAGCCCTGGCACAAAAAAAGCTCAAGAGGGAGGAAATGGCTGCTCTCTGCCAGGATGAACTGCTGGCTCTCAAATTCAAAGATAAGAAGGAGGTGTTCATGCTAACATCTATGCATACTGAGCACACTCGAAGAGTCAGAGTTCATGGCAGACAAGAAATTAGACGGGTGCCAGTCTGCATTAGGCAGTATAACAAGCACATGGGGGAGTTGACCTGTCCGACCAACTGCTGCAACCCTATTTAATACTGAGGAAGACCAGGGCATGGTACAAAAAGCTTGGCATTTACATTATGCAAATGGTGACTCACAATGCCTTTATTCTGTACAAAAAGGCAAATGCTGACATTAAATTCACATTTCTGGATTTCCAGTTTCAGCTTATTTCTGGGCTGCTCACTGAGTGCCACAGTGGGGAACCATCAGCTGAGCCTAGCAGCAGAAGGGTTGAGACAGGTCACTTCTGTTTCCAGACACCACCAACCCCCAAAAAGAAGACACCCCAGAAAAGGTGCAGGTTGTGCTACCAGAGGGGCATAAGGACGGAAACCAGCTTTTATTGCCATGATTGCCCCTCTCAGCCCGGCCTTTGTATTGGCAACTGTTTTAAAGTTTTTCACACCCAGGGAGAATAAGTTGCACATGTGTTACGCTAGGGGAGAAAAGATTTTTTTTTAAAAATAGAAAAAAAAATTATTTTATAACATTATTTAGTTAAAGTTCTTGTGTAAAAAGTAAAACATGCTTAGGAAGTTATGAATTCTATCAGCAGACAGAGTTGACAGGCAGTGCCCCAGAGTTTGATGCAGGTTAATACGGTGATTAATACCTTCTTTAAAAAATGGTAGGCCTTTGTGGGGTAGTTTGAATTATCAGCATGCTAAGATGCTCTAAAATTGCACATGGACCCAGCGTCAAAATTCAAAGTTTGAAAAAAACTGATATGGCTTAGTCTCCAATGTGCCCCTTCAACATAGGGGCACATTGTTGTACTTAGACAACATAGCTGAGCAACATAATAGGTGTTATACTGCCGTAGCACACATAAGGATTGCAAAATATACAGTAACATCTCCAAGTGTGTGTCAAAAAGGCAGAAAAAATGCTAATTGCTACTAGACTTGGTACAAACTAGTAAAAAAATTATCCTACGCTAGGGTTTAAAATATGCCATTTGAAATAACCTGGAGTGTCTACTTTTACAAATGGTAGGCCTCTGTGGGGGGTTTTTGAACCGTCAAACTGCTATAATGGCCCAAAGTGAAACATAGGCCCATCAAAACCGTCTCTCAAAATTCTACTGTAAATACCGAAATGGACAGGTCTCCTATATGGCATTGTAGCTTCACGAAATAGTGCCAAAGACATACAATGGGGGTATCATTTTACTCAGAAGACTTAGCTGAGCATAATTTTGGGGCTTTGATCATAGTGACACATGTCAAATATACAAAATGCCCAGCAAAAAGTAATGCAATTGTAAAAACTGCCCAAAATTATTTTTTACCACAA